TGCTCATAATCCCCATCAAACTTTGGGACGCATACTTGAGCACTATTTTCACCCATGATTTCTGCTCGAAATCACTCGCACACACGTTGAATCTCTCACCATGTTGTAAGGTTCCTCACAACACAGCTCTCGTGTTTCCCTTACCCAAGATTTAAAACAATTTCACTCAGCAGTTCTCTTTCTCTCTTTCTCTAGCAAGGTGACACTTTTGCTTTTAGTGCTCTGATACCACAATGTTAAGCTCAGAACTCGTGCAAATCTGACAATCTTTATTGAAAGAAAATAAAAGGTTTAAATACTCTGGGTTTCAGCCAACAGACCTGGCTTCCACCACTCCAACCACTATCTAATTGACCCTGGAAATCAGCAACATGATATCCATAATCAACGATGCACTCTAACAACTAATCTGGATATAAACGACACAGAACAAGACAAGGTTCTAACCCTTGCTTACAAGCCGCTGCAAGGGAGTTCAAAAGGGGTCGTAGAAAATCCTTACTACGTGTAGCAGGGGCAGCATTGCCAAGATTCGTAACAAGGGTTGGGTAAACCCTTGATACTGCTTCTAGAAAGGGTTAAGACCCTTGGTATAGGTTAACTAAACCGTTGGCAAAGGCCAATATTTTTTTTAGTGAATGTGATGAGTACATTGTTGGGTTTACAAGATGCAGGATTACACAGATTTAGTTTAGATGGTTTGCAGTGGGGAGATGGATGATCTCACTCGAAAATCATTCAACCCAACAAACTTTTCTAATTTTAAGTAACACAAGGTATATACTTGAGGTGGATACAGATGACAGAAAGACTCGAAACGTATATATAATAGTTTCTTTAGAAGTTATATTTAGCGAGATCTCTATGGCTTACAGTCAAAGACAAATAATATGATGTAAGTTACAATAACATATACTAAGGCTCTTGTAATAACACTATATCTTTCTAAGGTTTTATGTCTATACACGTTGATCCTCATTGACTACATGATGAATCTCATTAAGGCTCTCCGAGTAAATCTCTACATCTTGATATCATTGCACCAATGCTCTACAATTTCTCCCTAAGCCAGTATCAATAGATTCGCTATTGTAAAAAATTATTTTAGGAGTAATTATATAATTATGGCTTGGGGGAGAATTCATGTACTTATTGACAAAATAACCCAACTCAGTTTTGATCATCATATTATTTATTTTCAATTAAAGACTAAATTTTGGTTAGTATGGAGCCAACAACAAGACATGTAATTCCCACAAAATATTAAAGGAATTATTAACTCACAAATTTTATTAATCGTTTCATCGCTGGCTACTAGCTAGCTAGATTCCATATTCTTCCAAAATGGAAGGTAGAAAATAAAAGAAATACTCTACCAGAAAATAATTTCTCATGAGTGAATTCATCTCTCAATTTAATTTTGGATATGATCCTGACGGTGCCGGCTTGTCAAAAATATGGTAGCACCCCTCATAGCATGCGCAAGATTGATGCTCACACCGTCCGACAATATTGACTCCGAAGGTGGCAAACATGTTGTTGCATTTGGTATTGCATGCCAGATTGTTACAAACACCACCTCGAAGATTCAAAAACCTTTGAGGGAATGAAGTGAATTTGCAGAGGTCGGAGTTCGTGTCCCAATACTGTAGTGCTACGACCCCGTTCCCTATTTTTCATTACAAACAGTTCTAAATTAGTAAAAGAAGAGATAATTTATACTAAAATGCATAAAAATGGAAATGACTAGATGACAATATCTTATAAGGCAGTCCAAATAAGATGAGAAATTCATGACATAGAGCATATACATATGGATAATTAATCACCACGAATGAGAAAAATCAGTAGAAGAGCTGATATAATTGCTGGTGATGAAGAGATTTTCATAGTGGCGATTTCTCGCTAAATTTTTTCTCTTTTGTATGATTTTCTTTTGAAACAAGGTGATATATTAACAAGAACATCTACCATTTTGCAAATATATAAGGAGACATGATGATACATACTTTCTTAATTTACGTAAATCTTAACTTATCCGTGAATACAGGAAAGAAACAATCTTTAGTAAAACCCTTATTATCGGAACCGTATAGGACTATTGCAGCCTATAACTCCCAGTCATTCACCTTTAAATTATTTGACCGAAGGCTTTCCAAATGCTATGTTTGTTTGTTTGTTTCGCCCTTCTTTAGTTGACGGTTTCTTAGTTTTCAGGTAATTTAGCCCATAATTACGCGTTGTTAGCATTTTATAAGCATTTCTGTTTGTTTGGTGAAACTAATCCACATTTTCTCAAAAAGAGTAATTTCTATCCGTATCTAATATGAATGAATAAGACTACTTTCTTTTTCTTATAATGATGATATTCATTCTATTCGACAACGATATGTTTTTTTTGTTGGAATTTTGCAGTGCCAATTTCTCCTCTTAAATATGCAGTTTTATTTTAATATGGAATGTTTATGAGATGTTACTCTATCATTAGATTAATTTACGATAAGTTACTGAAAATATATCAACATTTTGTTGTTATTAATATTAAGGTCTAGTGTTTTAGGACTTTTTAAAACTAATGTTTTAGGACTTTGTATGTTGAGTTGGTCTAACCTCTAAATAAAATTTACTTGGAAGCCGCCGAGGAAATTTCTATCATTGATTAAAAAGGGCAAGGCCCAAGTTGAACCGATAGCCTTGCACACCACGTTTTTTGAGCTTCATCTACTATAGAAAATAAAATACATAGCTACACTTTTTTGTGTAGGCATCTTCTATTGAAATTGATTGACTTTCGAACACTAGTTGCTGTTATAAGTAACACAAAGCGCAAACAACGACTTGGTCTAGTGGTATTACCATTAGTCTTGAACATAAATGTTTTAAGTTCGAATTTCTTCAGTTACACTTAGTTATAAAAACAATATATGTCAGCCTTGTAAAATTTGAGTAGCGCGGAAAGGAAACGAGACTAGGATTTACGTGGTTTCGTCGTTCGATGTGAATGAGACTAGTCCACGGAGAGCTTCAAGCTCTCAGAGTCAATTTTATTATTCTTGTTCTTAGGGTTTAGCCGCAGCTAGCTAGCACCCTTATAAAACAAAACCGAAAACCCTAACTCCGCTACACGTAAAATGGAGGAAGGGAAAATTACAAAAGGACCCCAAATAATAACCAAATGTCCAAAGGGGCCAAAACACGCCTCCTCAAGCGAAGGAGTGGATATCAAGTAGTCCAAGCTTGAAAAAAAGATGGTGGAACTGATCAAAGACCAGTCCCTTCGTGAACAAGTCAGCTGGCTGGTCCACCGTAGGAATCTTCGCGGGAGCGATCTCATGCGACTGAACACGTTCGTGAACAATATAAAGTCCATCTCAACATGCTTAGTCCGTTCGTGAAAAACTGGATTATCAGCGATATGGAAGCCTCCTGATTGTCGCAAAACAAAAGGGTAGGAGCAGTAGAAGGCACACCCAAGTCGCGAAGAAGCCAACGAAGCCATAATATCTCACTAACTGTGCTAGCCATGGCACGATATTCAGCTTCGGCAGAAGAACGAGCCACCACTGTCTGCTTCTTCGTGTGCTAAGAAATGGGTGCATAACCGAGCATAATAAAATACCCAGTTGTGGAACATCGAGTAAGAGGACAACCGCCCCAGTATGCATCACAATAAGCAGTCAGAGTAAGAGAGCCCGTAGAAGGGAAGAAAAGCCCTCGGCCAGGAGACGACTTCATATAGCGAAGAACACGAATGGCAGCATCCTCATGGGCCTTGGTAGGAGACTACATCGCCTGGCTAATACGATTAACATCATAGGTGATATCTGGACGAGTAACAGTGTGATAGAGGAGAGGACCCATGAGACGCCTATAAGCGGCAGGAGCCTAAGTAGGAGGAGAGGGGAGGCGGCCGAGCTGGTGCTGCTGCTCAATAGGAGAGGAACACGGCTTGACAGCTTCCAAGCCAGCATCAGCTAAAATGTCAAGGACATATTTGCACTGATTAAGCAGAATGCCACGGGGAGAACGGGCCACCTCGATCCCCAAAAAATACTTAAGAGATCCAAGATCCTTGCTGGTCAACCGGTCGTGGAGGGAAGTCTTCACAAGAGTAATGAAGGCCAAATATGTGCCAGCCAGTATGACATCGTCAACATAAATGAGAGCCGTGACAAAATCTGCCCCACGACGATAAGTGAACAAGGCATGGTCAACCCGACTAGGAACGAAACCAAGCTCTAGGAGGGCCTGAGTGAACTTCTGATACTAGTTGCTAGAAGCCTGACGCAAACCATAGATAGATTTGTGCAATCGACAAACACGAGTTTCACCCGGACGTGCAAACCCTTGGGGTATAGCCATATAAACTCCTCATGAAGATCACCATGCAGGAAGGCATTGTTGACGTCGAGCTGGTAAATATGCCACCCACGAGTAACAATGATAGCCAACAAGCAACAAACAGTCACCAGCTTGGCAACCGGAGCAAAAGTGTCGTGAAAATCGACACCCTCCACCTGAGTAAAACCTTTTGCAACAAGACGGGCCTTATAACAATCAATAGAACCATCGGGAGGAACTTAATCTTAAAGACCCATTTGCAAGCAATGCAACGTTTACCAGGAGTTAAGTCAACAATCGACCAAGTGCCATTATGCACCAATGCAAGAAATTCGCGAACCATAGCATCTCACCAATGTTTGTATCTCACAGCTTGATGAAAATAAGTAGGCTCAAAAGAAGTGCTAACCGTGGAAACAAAGGCATGATGGGCAGAAGACAAGAGATGATAAGTGACGTAATCATCCAGAGGGTACTGTACCGAGGCAGAGTAGGCTGCGCCAGGTAGCTGAACGTCATAGCCTTGTAAACGAACAGAGTTGAACTGAACTATGTCCCCACGCCAAACTGCTGGAGGAGGTGAGGGAGTTGAGTGCGGGTATGCATCTGTCAAGGGGCTGGACGAACTAGATGGCGCCGAAGAAGAGGGAGTTGGGCTCATGGACGGACTAGACGACGCCGTGGATGGAGTAGCTGGGCTCACCGAGCTATCCAAAGAGAGCGAGGGTGTGCTAGTCTTCATAGGAGAGGCAGGAGAAGCTGGCTGCGTCGTAAGAGGTGAATCATTAGTGTCGGCAGCAGAGTGCACTAACAGCTCGGGCTTGGGAAGAGCTGGATCAATAGAAGGCGGTCTAGGCTAACAGGAGGGAAGAGATACACGAGCTGGAGAGAGCTCAGTCGCCCCATCAACGTCACGATAAGGGAACATAGACTCGAGGAAGTGCACATTTCTAGAGGTGTAGATGTTATGACGCTCGAGATGATAGACACGATACCCGCATTGAGAAGAAGGATAACCCAAAAAAATGCCTACACGCCCACGTGCCCTAAACTCGTGAAGGCTGTGGTGATTATCGCGAGCATAGACCAAGCTACCAAAGCTTCTAAGATGATCATAGGCTGGATCCTTGTCAAACAAAATCTGAAAAGGAGATTTATTACCAATGCTGACTAACGGCATTCGATTGATAAGATAGGTTGTCATCATGACACACTCACCAAAAACTTAAGAGGGAGATTCGCATGAAATCTCAAAGCACGGGCAGTATCCAACAAGTGGCGGTGTTTGCTGCGGAGTGTCGGTGCAGGAGGTCTGCAAAACAATCCCTTCTTGTTCGTACTAAGATGTCAACGACGCACAAGAGAACTCCGGTCCAATATCAGCCTGAATCCTCCGGAGCTGTGCTTTAAACTGTGTGCGCACCAGATTACAGAAGTAGAGCAGGTGAGGAGCAACATCAGATTTAAAACGCAATAAGAAAACCCAAATTGCACGAATATAGTCATCTACTATGGTTAGAAAATAATGAGCGCCTGAAGTGGACGCAATCTTATAACTGCCCCAAATGTCAACGTGTATAAGATCAAAGACCGACTGGGTCTTAATGGTGCTGGACTCAAAAGTGTTCCGAGTTTGTTTTACCCGTAAACAAGACCGACAAGGTTCTTTATTGTGAACAAAAGAACAATGAAATAAAGACTCCAAAGTATGTAACTTTGCGGCAGATATATGTCCAAGACGGGAGTGCCAGAGCTCTGTATCATCCAAGGATCGTCGGACAGAATGTGCCACCGGGTGCTCATGGGCGAATAACCTAGAAAAGATAGAGCCCGTCAACGTGCTTACCCATCCCAATCGGCGTCTTGGATGGTAAGTCCTGAATCAAACAGAAGTCACCCAAAAATATTAACGCGACCGGAAGATCAGCAGTCAGCCTACGGACAGAGAGCAGGTTGCACTGGAAATCAGGAACATGAAGAACACGACGTAATGAGAGACGATCCGATAATTTTGTTGTCCCGATACTGTGAACCTAAACACCTATACCATTAGGTATTTTAACCTGTAAATCCGGACTCGATTCCAACTCAGAATCCAACAAGGAAGCACGATTAACTATGTGCTCGTTGCACCAAGAATCAATAACCCACGAAGCTGAGTCAACCGAAAGTTACCTGCCATGTTTGAGGAAGGTTCGGTTGAACCATGTTGCAAATCTCCATTGAGCAAGGCTTTGAGTTGCTCGAACTGGCGAAGAGTGAGGCCTGGGAGTGGACCTTCTACCGTGTCCACATGCGCAGCGTGCTGCGACGACGTACGAGCTCCATCGCCACAATCAGAATGCGGACGAGATGTCGCCCCCTTGTCGCCATTTTTGGGAGGAAAACCGATGATCTGCCAGCATTTAGGTTTGTCATCTGCGTCACTTTCCTTGTCGCGGTCATGATCTGCCAGCATGGAGGCTCGCTCCGTCTTCTTATCGCCATGAGCCTGGAACACAGCAATCTCGGGTCGAGGGCGACGGCTGGAAGCTATTAACCACTGTTGTTCATCATTAGTGACGATCTGGTATGCTTCAGCAAGCTTAGGGATCGGTTTCATCGCCAATATTTGGGACTTCACAGTAGCAAAAGCATCATCGAGTCCCATTAAAAAATCAAACATGCACTCGCTCTCCCTTGTCGTTCTTTGACGCATCTTAACATCCCAAGTACAACCAGAGCAAGTGCACGATAGAGAGGTTGTATGGGACTGTATTTCATCCCACAAACCTCGTAACCTCGTGTAGAAGGCGGAAACCAAGGATTTCTCCTGCTGCAAACGTGCGATGGTGCCCTTGAGTTCATACAAGCGTGCCACACTGCTTGGGAAAACCGGGATTGGATGTCGACCCAAATTTCACGAGCTGTGGAGGCAAAATGAACACTTGCTACGAACCTTCTTGGTCATCGAGGTTTTCAACAACCCCTTGACCATGGCGTTACAGCGAAGCAAGGCCTCCTTCTCGGCCAGCGTAGTAGCAGGAGGCAAACTCCCATCGACGAAGCACATCTTGTTCTTCGCGATGAGGGAACCAGTGATATCAACAACCCATTCTCCATAGTTCACGTCATAAAGCAGCTCACCGATGAAGAGATTACTTGGGTTGTTCGACGGATGTAGGAGGAGGTGCGACGACAACAACGAGAGAGGACCAGAACTCACCACCGTTGACGTTTGTGGAGATTTCCCAGACTGCGAAGCTTGAATAGATTCATCTTCGCCCGAGGCCATGATTGAAACTGTGGAATCTACTCACATCTCTGATACCGTGTAAAATTCGAGTATTGCGGAAAGGAAACGAGACCAGGATTCACTTGGTTTCCCCATTCGATGTGAACGGGACTAGTCCACGGAGAGCTTCAAGCTGCCAGAGTCAATTTTATTATTCTTGTCCTTAGGGTTTAGCCAAAGCTAGCTAGCACCCTTAAAAAACAAAACCGAAAACCCTAACTCCGATACACGTAACATGGAGGAAGGGAAAATTACAAAAGGACCTCAAATAATAACCAAATGTCCAAAGGGGTCACAACAAGCTTTATCTAAAAAAATAACAGAAAGCATATTTACTATACCATTTAAACATATCGACCAACTATCCAACTAAAGTTACCCAGTATACTCCAAGTAAAACCTATTTGAGTTTTGATTAAGTCATCGTAAACATATCCAAGTCATGATAAACTTAATTTGAAACATTCTGCATTAAGCATATAATTTACTGCATAATTTAATATCAATCATCACGATTCACAAATAAACATTTCTTATTGTTATTATATATTTTATATAATAAACCCATCATATATAATGTAAATCAAGTGAAACTTATGAGAATAATTGTAATTTAATAAATTATGATTGATATTTTAATAGTTATTTGAAAATTAAAATAATTAAAATTTATGAAAAAATAAATAGTTTTATATTGGCGTATCCATACATAAACATCCCTATTTAAGTATTTAAAAACACTAAACCACTAACTTCTAAAAATATTTGTAGCACCATAAACAAATGGGGTAAATGCCACATTTGGTCATTGGAATTACTAAAATGTGTCATGTTTAGTCACTGTAAAAAATTAATATCAATAATGATCACTAAATTTAGTAAAAACATGTCATGTTTGGTCACTCTCCATTAATTTCCTTCCAACTCCATTAATGGAGTCCATTAAGTGTTGACATGCAAACAAAATTGTCTAATCCGTCGAATTTAACCCAAAAAATACTAAACCCGACCCGCCACATCATCACAAACCACCACGTTATTAAAATCATAACCCAACCCATTTTTCAACCATGAGTCCATGACCCATACAAAATCCCAACCCATGTCATTATGCTCCATATTCCCGGGATAGGCAAGAAACACAAATTGCGTTTCTCTTTTCCCGGGTTGATAAGTTTGTTGGAAACTGGATTCGCTTATATACATCATCTCATCTTTTGGTTTTAGTTAAAATGCTCACGGCATGCAAGGGTGTATATATACTGGGATTGGTAAGAAACACATATTTGTTGGGACTTGCCTCGTCCTTCTCCATGAAACCAAGAAGCCCACCTGCTAATAAAGGCCCACCTGATGCGCAACGTTTTACCATCCTCGTCAAGAGCTATCATTGCGTCTTCACCTTCATTCATCTTCATCAAAATCAAACAGCCAAGAATTCTGTGTTAGTGTCTCGTGCATCAGCTCTCTCCCCTCTTTACTGCAAACAAACGGTAAACAACATTGAAGTGGAAAGAGACGGAAGAATGGAGCTACTGAATTTATATAAAGAGCGCGACTGTCAATAGAGAATATGACGGTTTCCTAATCTCAGTAAGAGCTGGATAGTTCTTTGGGAGATCAAGGTTAGGGTTCGGTTTAAGTGTCCGGATAGCTTGAGTTGGGGCTTGCTGCCAGGAACTCAAGCTTATCCAGCATATCTTCTGTCCTTGTCTTCTTTCCTTTTATTCCTCTTTGTTTAGGGAGTGATTCTGTTCATAGATCTCTTGATTGGAGTCTTTTAGGTCATCCCAGCTTTTCGCTTTTGTCTTAATCGAGATCAATCTCAATTGAATTGAATAATTGTTTCAATCCTCTGTTTACTCTCTTTAAACATGATCTAAATACAAAAAGGGGAAGTTTCAGCAATACCTACTTTTCCAGATCCTCTGGAAACATGTTTAATAATGCCCCTAGATCATCTGGACATCATTCTGGCGGAGCAAATGAGAAAAACTCATTTGGGTCCAACAGAGCATACTCTGGTCCTAAAGATTTTAAGAACTCAAATGACAAATCTGACTCAACTATTTGTTTCAAATGTGGCAAAACATGACATATAAGAGCAAATTGCCCACTAAATAAAAAGAAAGTAAAAGCAATGACTGCTTTTTGGATTGACTACAACTCTGAAGATGAACCTGAAGTAAATGCTTACATGGGACTGAACTCCAACCTAGGAGAGGACACATCTACTGAAAAGGTATAGTTAGATTCCTTCTCAGACTCTGTCTCTGAATCTTATAATGAAGATTTCTTTCTTCATGCCCTGTCTAATCTTCAAAATGAATGCAACTTACTAAAAAGCAAGTTTTGTCTGACTGTGACTCAACTACATGAGAAGGAAATAGAAATCTGCAGGCTTAAGAAGCTTGTTGATAATCAACATACTGCTCAGATCACACAAGACATACAAGTAGCTAGTCTCATAGTTAAAAACAGAGAACTTAAGAGACAAATTAACTACTACCACAAAGTGTTGAATAAAAACACTAGAATGTCTAATTCAAATCATAGAAATTACACCTTTCCTGCACCATATAAACA